AAATGACAGCCTTGGTGAGATCCAGGAAAGCCCGATACCTTGGGATGAGAGACCCAATGGTTCCTCTTTAGAAAGTTCTTTCTTCCCCCAGGCTTTCTCTCTGTTTTCTCACTGTGACTGCAGCTTACTGGGAAATCCATCTGTGCCTTGATGGAAGTGGCTGATGTTTCCTAGGCTGCATTCTTATGAAACTGTGTGCGCGCTGCACCGAGCAGTGGCCAGCGCATTCCGAATCCGGACGTGCATTGCTGTTTGATTACGATGTTCCAAACCGATATTGTTATTCCTGCGGCAGTTGAAAGACCCATGTTCCGGCAATTCTTTTCCTTCCGCATTTATGGGAAGCGTCCCTGTGCTCAGAGCTTTGTTGCTGTTTGAGGCTGACATTGTCCTAGGTCTTTGTCTGACAGGGTGTCTGACGCAGCCAGAGCCCCCCTCCCCCAAGCTCAGTTACACTGTGTATTCGCCTGCACTGCCGTGGTTGGTAAACAGCGCTGGTTCTTTGTGTCTGGAGGTTAATTCTCCTGTGTTGTCCTTGCAACTGACTTAAATAGACCATTCAGTAGTTGTCAGGTTCTTTTGGAAACTGCTGCTAGACTCCGCCACTGGGAGGGCGGGGGGTGGGGGGAAAGAAGGAACCAAGCGCAGTACTGGAGTATTCTGGGGTGCAGTAGCCCCCTCACGCACAGTTCCACTTCCTGCGCTCTGTTACTTGCAGTCAACCATGGTCCAAAAACATTAAATGGAAAATTCCAGAAATAACACAGTGCATCAGTTTTCAGTTGGATGCCATTCTGGGTAGCATGACGACATCTCCCAGCTCCTACTCTGTGCCACCCAAGATGTGCGTCATCTCTTTGTCTAAGGGATCCATGCTACGTGATGCCTGATGCTTGAGCTAAACTGTGTCACAGGCACGTATGTACAGGAAGACAGAGAGTGTATTGGGCTCAGCACTCCCCATTTTCAGCATGTGCTGAGGGACTTGGCTCTGCCCCCCTCAGATAAGGGCAACTGCTGCTTAGATTAACCTCTCTGTGTGCTGCTCACTGAATGCATTGTGCAGCGTTTACTGTAGGTGATTTATGCAGAAGTTGATGGGTACCATCTTTTCCTTTGGTTACATGGTGACTCTGACTGAGAGGTGGTCTTGATGATGGTGTTGGGGTACTTTGAGAAGCTGGTGGCAATGGCTGACCCAGGCTGTTCCTTAGGTCTGACTCACTGGTCCATCTTATCTCTTAGGTGTCCTCGAATCTTTGCCCTCCTCTCTGTCCCCATCACCCTGGTGCCCACCACTGTCACATTGTGCCCTCATAGTTCATGTAAAGTTTTTAATCTAGTACCCAGTACAGTGTGAGTGCTTTAATAAGAGCTAACTATGAACTCTGCATTGCAAATATCTAAAGAAAGTATGGTGACATTGGTAAGAGATGCACTCTTGTGATTAAAGCCTTTCTGAAGCTCCTCATCACCCAGAGGATCAAACTCATGCTTCCTGCCTGCAGATCTGCCCTACCAAGCCTACCAATCTCCCACCTCCCTGGTGGCACTGCCACTCCACCACACTGATTGTTCTCATTCAGCCACTGATCTCCATGGGACTAGCTGCTTCTCAGCCTTCCCCTCTTAGTGTAAATGTCACTTGGGGAGCCCTTCCTGGTCTATAGCACATCACTTTCCGTGTTTGATCCTAGAAAAATACGGTCAGTGGATGTGGACTGCATGAATGCAAAACTAGATGCTGATCATAATAACCATACGGATAATAGTGCTGTGGCCACTGCGTACCAGGCTCTGCTTGGTGTTCATGATTTCCTGTAACCATTTCCGCAGTTCAAGGCAGGTAGGTGCTCATCTGATGAGGTTGTGGATCGTCAGGAAGGTCACCTTGCCCGCTAGGAATCCAGACCCACAGAAAGTCTGGCCTGTTCCTGACGTGGGAATCGAACCCACATATCTCTCTGATCTAGGACATGAGCGATACCTCCTTGCCTTGAGGAAAAGGTGAGAGGTGGGAAGCCTTCCAGGATCTGCAGCTCGCTCGTCCAGGGCTGGATCATACCCAGTAGCATCTACTTTCTGAGACCTTTGTTCAGTGTTCTGAGTAGGGATGGCCAAGGTGGGTGGAGGAGGTCAGATGACTCAATGACTCCCTGTTTATTTTGGTACAGATGGCACCCTCTCTCAGAGGGATGTCAGTCTGAAAGGGGCTCTGTGGTTCTGTAGAAGGATAGGACAAACAAGATGACAAAGAAAGACCATATTTCCCATTGTGATGCATGTCCTAAAACTGTCTCATGAGAAGACCTGTGAGCACAAGTCCTGGAAAAGACCTAAGGGGAGAGGGGACCGGCTTTAGAAGACGTGAAAGTTGGGTGTTTGCAACTACTCTCTGGGCAATATTTTAGGTGTTTTCTCCAATAAATGGCGACAGCGCTGGGGAGTGATCTGAACATGAGAGTGAAGGGTGAAGGGTGGATCCTGTCAGCGGGTGGACGGGCTCCTTCCCTGCCGCTAACTACTCCAAGACATCTTGATTGCTGTGTTTTATCTTAGGAGCCCATTCTGTTCCCTGCTTGGACTCTGTCACTGCTAAGCCCAGACAGAGAAAAGGAAAAGCAGACCTCGTTCTGTTCGTACTCCCTGCATTCACTGGTACTACAATGGCTTTAACTTGAGTTACATCTCCGCTGAGAATGATTTATTTTGGCTCATGGTTCTAGAAATTTCTTGTCCACGGTTGCTGGGTGGGAGGGAACATATGGCAGAGGAGCTTTATGCTTCTCCTTGCAGCCCAGAAGCAGAGAGAGAGGGAAGGGGGCAGGGAGAGGGAGAGGGAGAGGAAGTGCTGGGGTCCTGAAGCCCTTTCAAGGCCACGCCCCCCATGACCTCACTTCCTTCCACAAGGCCCTGCCTGGTAAAGGTTCCCTCACCTCCTAATACCCCCACAGGCTGGGGACCAAGCAGTTAACACACCAGCCTTGGGGAGATATTTCAGATCCTAACTATGACAACCACCCAGAAAATCTACTTTGAAAAGTACATTACTTTGGGCTACATATCCATCTCTTGACTTAGACTGCCTATCCTCATCCTTGTATAATCTGAGGGGAACCTGTTAGAAATTCAGACCCAGAATACTGACAGCCAGCATTTATCAATACCTCCCATATGCCAGGCACCGTGCTTACGTGTTTTCCACGACAGTCCTGTCACATGAGTACAACTTACTGGTCTTCTTTTACGGATGATGCACAGGGAAGCTACATGAGTGACCCAAATGGCTATACCAGGAATTGAGCCCAAGTAGAGCTCATGATCAACTCCCTGCTCTGCAGTGGTCCTGCCAGAGTCCAGCCCTGGGCTACCAGATACATTATACTCCTCCCTCCTAAGACCAGCAGCTCAGCTTCTGGGTCGCCTCTGCTTCTGCTGGCTGATTTTGTGCAGTTGGTTGGGTTTACCATGGGCCTGGCTGACTCTGCCTAATCCTTACAGCACTCACCAAACATTGTCAACAAACTCAGCCCCCCATGCAGTAAGAATGCCCAGCCACAGGGAGCTATTTCCAAATATGCCCATCTTTTCTTCCCACCCAGAATGAAGGGCACTGAGGGACAGGCCCCAAGCTTTGTATTTCTCCAGTGTCTCCAGAGCGCATAGCATGGTACTCTGAAGTGGTTTGGTGTCACTTAGCCTGATGGCGGTGGGAGGGAGTGGGATACTCCTTTCTGAAGTGGCAGCTTGCTGATGCTGGATAGAGACCTGCCTCCTCATGGCTAGTATCAACGAGCTCATCTCTCTTTTTAGAACACATGTGGTGTGCTTTGGCAATTGTCCAGCAGATGGGAAGCATTCATAGAATCCAGAACCTGGTTTCTGGGACAGTTCAGGGCACAGCCACCTTGTGCCATTTCTGTGGGCCCCTTTGTGCTATAAAATTCCCGTACTGTTCCTATTGATCTGTGCAAAGGAAAGAACAAGACTGAACTGTGTGGCTGAACTTGTTTTTCATGGGAGATCCTGGAGGTCATGCTTCCTTCCAGATTATTTGTTTGGCCTCACTGTGGGTTGCTTTGCACGCAGGCATGTTTGACAGGGTGGTCCAGGCTGCCCGCTGACCTGAGGGCTGCTGGCTGACTCAGCCTTGAAAGGAAGGGTTAACTGCATGTTTCAGAGGGTGCTTTGGACTGCACATCCCTTTTAAGCCTCCCTAGCCCCTGGCCCTCCTCAGGTGAAGGGCTGAACTAGACTGAGCTGGGAGCTCCCTGCTCTGCTGGAGCCAATTGCCACTGTGGGTTTCAACCATTAGCAAGGATGTTATTGGTTTTTCTTGGATGGGATCTTTTGTTTATGCTGTGGACAAGGATTGCATGCTTATTACTTGTCATTGAGGATGCTGACTGTGGCTGTACTAAGTGTTTTAGTGGCAAGAAAACAACTTCAGAGCTGGTTGTGGTGGTGCACGCCTCTAATTCTAGCACTTGGGAGGCTGAGGCAAGAGGATCCTTGCAAGTTTGAGACCAGCCTGGGCTACAAAGTGAGCTCAAGGCCAACCTGAACTGCATCGTGAAACTCTGTCTCAAAAAGACAAAAACAAACAAATGAACAAAAACAAAACCCACAGGTCAGTGACAAGCTAAAGAACCTTTCACAAACTGATGACCTGGTCCCCCTGGTGTCTGTCTCTTGGTAGGCTATTAAGGGCTGGGGACAGGTCAGCTTGGTTCTTCCCTCCTGCTACCCATGAAAGCATGGGCAAATGCTTCTCCAATGTCGCTGATCCTTTCACAAATGAGGGGGCCCACCAGGCACAAGTGGCACCTTTGCCTCAGCCTGGGATAGGGGAACGCTGGCTAAGGCTGATGTGATGGCAAAGCCACAGGTGTCCATCGTCCACGTGGGTCCACTCAGTGCTTGGGGACAACTCACATCTTCTGTCTTGATTACTTTTCTCTGATTGCTGAGACAAAATACCCAACACCCAAAATGAAGGAAGGAGAGGTTTATTTAACTCATAGTTTGTGGAGGATTCAGTCTATACTCAGCTGGCACCAAGGCAGGGTGGCATGGCAGAGGGGCAACACGTCAAGGCAGCAGCCTTGCAAAAGTAGCCAGAGCAAAAGAAGGGGAAGAGCAAGCCTGGTTTCTTCCCTGTATTGAACACAGACCAATCCCCTTATAGGGCTGGTGTAGCACTCACAAAATCTCCGTGCCCTCCTCTTGCAGAAGACCAGGATATTTACACAGTAAGTACCTTGGCTCCCTGCTGAGTCTCTTAGTTAAACTTCTAAGCTTCTCAAGTTGACACAATGTGTCAACCAGAACAGCTGCCAAAGAGGGAGGGGTGGTGCCCAGCACACACACAGCTGGGCTGTGAGAGTCCTAGGAGGGCACCTGAGCAGCCACTACTTGCTGGTTTCTGCAGCCCAAGGGCCAGACGCTCCTCCCCAAGTGTTGACACCACTGGAATAAGACTACTGAGTTAGGGAGGGGTAGATGGTAAAAATATCTTGAAATCATTTATAACTGATAATCAGTAATGATGCTGGCCTTGCTTCTATGCTGGTCCCTATGAGCTGAACAAGCCTGGCTCACAATACAAGCAGTCTTTTTGTTTTTCTTTTAATTTTTTTTAAAAAAAAAGCAAAACAGAAAAAAAGGATAGAAATGATACAGAATTTCAAAATGAAGTAGGGAATTAACACTAGTTAATATATTGCATATTGTTGTTTTAGAAGTTGTTCAGGTTACAAAATCAAAAGTGATCAAGCAGTCTTGTTTGTACCAGCTTGCTAAGGCTGCCATGGCAAAGTGTCAGGGACTGGGTGACTTAAGCAATAGATATTTACTTTTCTCTGTCTAGTTCAAGGTCAGGGTTGGTTTCTTCAGAGGCCTCTTGCCATGGAGTGTAGGTGTCACTGTCTCCCTGTATCTTCCCAGGGTCCTCCCTCTGAGGGGATCTGCATTCTAATCTCCTTCTTTCATAAGGACACTGGTCGGATTGTGTTAGGTCCACCCCAGTGACCTTACCTTAACTTGAATTTTGTGAATCTTGAGGTTAAGTAAGACCCTAACATACAAATTTTGAAGGAACACAGATCAGTGTTAGCACTTACATGCTCAGTCAGCTTTCCATTTCTGTTAGCAAACACCTGAGATTATCAACTTATAGAAGAAAGGGTTGATTAGGGCTCATGGTTTGGGAGGTTTCCGTCAATGGCCGATTGGCTCCATTGGTTTTGGATCTGTGATGAGGCAGCACATGATGGGGAACGAAGTCTTCCACCTCATGTCTGAAATGAACAAGAGAGGAAGAGGAGGACTGGACCCTAACAGCCCCTTCTAAAGTGCACCCCCAACAACCAGAAGGCCTCCCTTTAGTCCATGCCTCTTAAGGTGTCCAACACCTCCCAACCATGCCAACCCAAGGACCAACCCTTGAGGTCACTGGCCTGTGGTGGACATGTGGCATCAGACTGTGGCAGAGGTGATGTGGCCATTGTGGCTAATACCAGAGCTCAGACTAAGTGTTGGCTCTGCTCTGAGTAGGATGAGTGGCAGAGCTGGACCTTGCAGTTGGCCCTGTGACTGAGGCCTAGGGCCTTCTCCAGTGGACCTCGAGGTCAAGGCTTTCTTTATCCAGCTCCTCCCCAGAGGAGCTGTCAGTGTGGGGTATGGAAAGTTGTCTGTCACCCCAACTCACTGATGGGAAGGCACTGTGGAGCTCTCGTTCCCACTGGTGCCTTGTTCCTCTGTCTGGGGTGACAGGTTTAAGTACTCCATGACAGTTAGAAGCTGGGCCCAGACAGGTGTCCCTGTTCCAGGTGTCCCTCTACCTGGCACCTCCTTCCACTCCTCCTCCTCCCTTCAGTCACTGTCACTTGTCCTGTGAAGCAGTGTCCTGGGACGACACACATACTGAGCAGTCTGCAGGACCTGGGGCTCTTCTGGTGAGCGCTCCTGTTTCTGTAGGAGTCGCCTGTAATTTCGAAAGCTCTCTCACCATTTCCTTGAAGTTCAGCTCGGCTCCACTGTCCTTGCTGGGGCAGACGGTGACCGTGAGGTCAGGGAGGCTTTGGTTCTCAGCGTCAGCATCATGAGTCAGGTCTCCCCCACACGTCTGCTTCCTCTTCCTCCTCTACTCCTCTTCCTCCATCCAGACTGGCCACATCTACATTGTTGTGTGCTAGGAGACCCAGACACTGATATGAGCTTTAAAAGTTTTGTTTTTCTCTTGCCAAACATGCTGGGTGGTTAATGGCCTTTTTTTCTAGCTATCTTTGTTGTAAGGGTTTATGAAGCCCTCAGATGCACTTTCCTGAAAAGGTCAGATATCCCAGGGGCATGAACCTAGCAGTGAGCCAGGGCCCAGGGCTCCCAGATCTGGATTCCGGGGCAGCTTGCTACCCTTATCTGAAGTCAAAGCATCTTCCCAGAATGCCAGGGAAAGCGTGTTTCAGTCACGGGGGGCCAGAGGCTTAATTTCCTCCTGTTGCCTGCCTTTCTGATGTCATTTACCTTGGCTGGCCTTGGGCAGTCACCTTGCTTTTAGAATCCTGCCAGTTCTAAAATGCTGAAGATCTGTATCATTTCAGGAATTCAGCAGATTCCATTTCGGTGCTGTTTCTTTGTTATCTAAGTTCAAATAACAGATTACTGTTTATTAAAGGATGCAGAAACGCAGTGGCAACTCTCTTTAAAGTTATTTTCACTGATAAATCTCCCCACGTTCCTAGCTGTGTATGTGTGCAGAGAAGTAACTGAAATGACAGTCACTTAACCTAATCCTAGGCGTGTGATAGATGGTGGGATTTGGGGACAGATACCATTTTCCTGTCTTGCCTGTGTTACTTAATTGGGGGGAAAATTAACTCGTGTCATTTTTCTAAAAAACGATCAAGTCCGAGATAATTGAGCATAAAGTTAACTAATGGAACGACCCAGCTCTTGGTGATGAGCAGTGTTAACCAGGTTAGCCCTGAGCACCGACAGCCCCACCGTGCTGAGGGCAGAGGGAGGGCCCCAGGGCCGTGTGGGGCCTCGGCTGGGCTCCTGTTTATAAAGCTTTTGTTACTTGGGCTGGATTTTATTTCGACCCACTGGCCTACTTTCCTTGAGGCCTGAGTGGCTCTCTGAGTTCCTCTGCATGCTGCTGTGTGTCCTATCTTCTCCTGCCAGGTCGCTGGGGAAGTCCTCCAGGCAGGCACAATACTAGAATAGCAGCCACTGGTAGATGCTGGCTTGCAAGCAAAATGTGTCCCTTATCAGAAAAAAACCGCAGGGCATGGGGGCCAGCGGGGGCCTGCAGGAGGGCGGAATGCAAGCAGAAGCTTTTGCTTCACTGCCCAAGATAAGGCACTGGCTATATTGTATGGCAGTTGTTTTTAAAATAGTACTGAGGATTGAACCCAGGGCCTTTGCACTGAGCTGCATGCCCAGCCCGTTTTTTTTTTTTTTTTAATTTTGAGTCAGGGTCTTGCAAAGACTCAAAAGTTACCCAGGGTTAAAACTTGTAGTCCTCTTGTCTCAGCTTTCCAGAGTGTTGGGATTCTAGGCTCATGACACTGCCACCAGACAGGCTTATGTGTGGCAAATTTAATTAGGCAGAACAAGACAGTCACAACTGGGTCCTGCTCTCGGATGGGAAGGAAATTAACCTCTGCCTGCCACAGACGAGCCCAAGGCTGCACTCAGCTGATCAGGCAGGCAGCTGTGCCCTGAGCCAAGGGGCGAAGGAGCCCGTGCATCAGCAACCTCCCACGTGGGGGACAGATGCTGCTTGGCCCAGCTCTCCCCTGCTCTTCTGCACTGCTCTGGAGGGGAGAGGACACTTCTCAAATACTACCTTTGCCAGATCCTAGTCTTTCTGGGAACCAAGCCAAATGCTGCCATGCTTCAGAAGCTGACCGAAGCGGGGAGGGTCTGTGAACTTCTGCTCTCTGGTTGGGAAATCTCCAAAAGTCAGTTGGGGAAGCCCGGGCCAGGAGCGAAGTGGTTGAGTTGGAGTCACCCTGCATATTTCATCACTATCTGTGTTAGACAAAGGGCTCGTGTTTACAGTTCCCTGATGGTGAAACCCAGTGACTCAGGAAAAGCCACAGGACTGAGTCCCATTGTAATAACCGATCCTCTGAACCTTGCGCAAGCTTAGTACCCCACCCCTTTGCTACTCAGAATCTTAGAGCTGGGCAGAAGCTGGTGTTAACACAAGAACTCAATCTCTGCTTGGAAGAAAGTTTTGAGTCTAAGATGCTTCCTTTGAGTTGGCTATATTGAGACAATTCATTTGGCCACCATAACAGAGTGTCTCAAAGACACGCCAAAGTAAGACTAAAGAAGGGCTTTGTTTTGAATGGGATCCTCTATTCCAAGTGCCTAAGGCAGACTGGCCAAAGACTGCTGCTCCAGCCCAAAAGTAAACAAGCTGTGGAGAACAGTGCATACAAAACACGGCGATGGAAAGATGCTGTCTCTGCCACCTGTGAGCTGGTGAGAATATCAGATTCATCATTGGTGACAGAGGCCGGAAGAGCTGGAGCTGGGTGAAAGCCCCCTGGTGGGGACAGCTACCTTAAAGGTGTTCTCCTTTCTTCCCTTCAACAGACACATCCCAAACCTACCGTTTCAGCTACTGTAACCCAGATCCCCTAAATGAGCTTCTTGCTCACAAAGCAATTTCTCTGTAAGCAGTCTGTAAGCAGCAGAACCTCATGTCCGGGATCCAAGGTCTTCTGTCTTGTGGTCCTACCACCCAAGTGTGTTGCCCTTGCCTGTGTGATTCAGCATGGGCTCACCCATGTCTGTATTCACACAAAGGGTGTGAGAAATGGAGGTGCATCGGGGAAGGCTTATCTTCACTTCCACCCTTATCCTATTGGCTGGAACTTAGTCACATGACCATCCTTAATTGCAAGGGAGCCTGGGAAATGTAGTTTCTATTCTTGACAACCATAGGTACAAGCTAAAAATGAATGGTTCTGTGACTACAGAAGAAGAAAATTGGGAGAATTGGAGATATAGCCAAGAGTCTCTATATTCATCACCACCACATGTAATAAGTAACACAAGTAGACATAGAAAGCCAGCTAGAATAGGATTGCCAAAGAAGGCTTCCCCATGACCTGCTGTAAGACATTTTTAAGGATCACTCTATTAGGTGTGGTGGGTTGAGAATCCTTTTCTTGAAACTGAGCTCCAGCTGGGCCTTCTGGTTCTTCATTAAGAAAGCTGAATTTGGAAGTTGAGAGTCAGTGAGCTATTTTAGGCCTTTGTACTTAACATTAACTAAGGATGTGCAAAATATTCCTAGAAGAATGAATTAAACCAAACTACGATCTCCCCCCACCCATCTGTCCATTTAGGGCGAAGTCCTAGCAGGAATAACGTATCTTCCTGGAGCCTTATTACCCTGTACATGTAGACCTGAGCAGGCTTTGATACGTGATGTCTTCCAAAGTTTTGGAGCAGGGCCTCAGGAGGAGAGGGTGCTTATATAATGTGATAAACAAACAGTAAATGGGTGTTTCATTTTCCATTAGCCAGAGAAGCATTTTATTTCCACTAGAAATGGGAGCAGATGCGAAAGCAATTAGTGTTAGTGGGTTTACAGTGGTTTCCCTGGAGCCGGCAAGATCCTGGGCCCAGATGTCTGTACTTTACTGGCTTCAGAGAACATTTTGAGTTCTTTCTACCTCTGGCCATCCCTATCTTCTGCCAAAAAGACCCAAAATACCACAGTTGGGGGAACAGAATATTCCCTGAATAGCAAAGGCAGGAGACCTGTTCTTTGGAGATAGAACCTCCTGCTCTGAAGTTGGAGAGGGGAGGCCAAGAGAGACAGGAAAAGTCCTCAAGATTACCCCCCAGGTTCTTTCTCCTGGCCCCAGGACTCTCCATGCCACCAATGAATTGGATCCAGGCTTGAAGCAGAGGTATAGATTAGAAATCTTCTACCCTTTTTTGCCAACTATGCCTGCTCCTAACAACAAATGAACAGAATATAAAAGAAGAAGAAACTGCAGCAAAAATAGAAGCACTGAATAGCCTACTCCCACCACATATGTCATCTCTAAGTTGCATTCCATTTCGGCTGTACCATAACTCTCCACCATGAACACCAAAGCCCCACCGCCTACCATTTAAATACTGTTATACTTCAGACTCAAGAAGCTCCCCCAGAGTCCCCCATGTTTGGAGTTGGGGCTTTGGAGGGTGACTGGATCATGAGGTCTCCACCTGCCAGTGGATTAACCCATCAGTGAGGTCATCATGTGTGACATTATTGGGAGGTAACAGTAACTTAGGAAGTACAGCTTAGTAGAAAGGAGTGGTCACTGTGGCAGGACCCTTGGTCGCTGTGACAGTATCTTGTCCTGGTCCCTTCCTCTCGGGTTCTTCCCTCTCTCTCCCTGGTTGCCATGAGGTGAGCTGCCTTTCTCTGCCTCGTCTTCCCGCCATGATGTCTCTGCCTTGGAACAAGCCATTTACACCTAATATAGATGTTCTTTTGCTCCGGTACCCTCAGGCCTTCTGCCAGGTTTGGCCCTGCTGGTCTCCATCTGCATTATGAAATTTGGGAGCCACTGGCCACTTGTAGTTTCAGAGTAGCTGAGCCAGGCTACACTGAGATGCACTCAAAGTGTGATTTGCAAGACTTAGTTTGAAACATAAGCAACTCAAATGTTCGCACTAGTTACATGTTAATAAAATATTGGGTATGTCGGGTTAAAGACAATGTTTTATTAAAGTGAATCCCACCTGCTTCTTTTTATCTTTTAAATGAAGCTCAGGAGAAATAGGCCTCCTATGTAGTCAGAGCAAGTTTCATAGTAGCAGCCCTGCATATTTTCATAACCCCAAAGATGTTTTAAAAAATTTATCATACGTTTGTCTCATTTAATCCTCACAGAAACCTTGCGAGAGGCCAGAAGCTTGGGCAAGTCCTCCGGTCCTCCTGCCTAGCTGCTGTTTCCCTCAGCCCTGAGGAGGGCTGGGCCAGGTGACCGTTCAATGAGTCTGTGACCTTGCAACTTCATAGTTACAAGAAAGGGCTGAGCTTGGCTCACACTCTTTCCGGGGGACCCTTTTGCTGGTTCCCCACCTTAGGACATCTTGTGCAAAGTCTTTTCCAGCTGTATTCAGTGTGCATTAAATGATAAGTCAGCGTTTTCAACATTACAAGAGCTGATTATCCTGGGTTTCATTGAACAGACTCACTAGGAGCTATTTCTGCCTAGCATTTTTAAACTTTCAAATATTTGGAAGCATTTAAGCATTTTATTGTTTATGTTTTATCTGTACCTTTCTACCTTTTTTCCTTGAAAAAAAAAAAATCTGTATTCAGTTGCATAACCATGACCACGATTTTAGACCATTTCATCATCTGCAAAAGTAACCTTCTGTCTATTAGCAGTTAATCCCCAACTGCCCTCTCCTGCAACCCTGCGTGACCCCTAGTTTTTCTATTTCTGTAGACTTGCCTATTCTGGGAATATCTTATAAATAAAAATCATACCACATGTAGTTCTTTCCCAATGTTATAATAGTTCTAAAATTCACCCATGTTGTAACATACACCAGAAATTTACTGTTTTTGAGTTTGTCGCATGGAAATGCTACATTCTGTTTACCCATTCATCAGTTGATGGACTTTGGGTAGCCTCTGCCTCTTTGGTTCTTATGGTAAATAGTGTTACTATGAGCATTTGTGCACAAGTATTGGAATTCTGTAGCTGTTTTTAATTATTATCCATATAGTGTACCTAGGAGTAGAATTGCTGGGGCATGTGGTCACTCTATGGTGAACTTTTTAAGGAATTACCAGAAAGACTTCCAAAGGGCAACTTCATTGTACATTCCTACAGCAGTGTTTTGAGATCCCAGTTACGCAGCCTTCATACCACTGCTTGGTCTTCTCTGTTTTTTAGATTAAACTCATGTTAGTTGATGTGAATTACTATCTCATTATTGTTTTGATTTGCATTTGCATAATGCCTAATGCTGTTGATTATCTTTTTACCCACTTAGTGGTTATTTCTACGCTGTCTTTGGAGAAATGTCTTTTTGGAGCCTTGTCCATGTTTTATTTGGCTTGTCTCATTATGGGATCATAAAAGTTATATATTACAAACACAGCTTCCTTCTCAGATATGTAACTTGCAAATATTTTGTCCCATTCTGTGGGTTATTTTTACTCTCTTGATGATGTCCTTTAAAGTACCCGTGCTTTATTTTGAGGAAATTCAGTCTCTCTTTGCTCCTTCCTGCCTCTTCCCCTCCTCGCTTCCCCCACCCCGTCCCCATTTCTCGCTCTCCTTTCCCATTGTCTTTGAGTGTGGGGTCTAAAAAGGCATGCCCTGGGACACGGTCTCAGTGTTTCACTCCTCTGTTTTCTTCTTAGGAGTTTTATATTTTAGCTTTTATACTTAGGCCTGTAATGTTAATTTTAATTAATTTGTACCTGTGTGTGAAGGAGTCTAGCTTTGCTCATTCACATCTCCGTGTTCAATCCTCCCAATGCCACTTCTGAAAGGTAATTCCTTTTCCACTGACTCATCTTGGCACCTTTGTGGAAAACCCATTGACCATAAGAATGAGTTTGTTTATAGAGTCCTAGTTTTATTCTATTGATCTGTTTGTTCATCTCCTGCCAGTATCATGCCATTTTTATTACTGTAGCTTTATAGTAAGTTTTGAAGTCATGGAAGAATAAGTCTTTCTGCATGGCTTGCTTTCAAGATTGTTTTTGCCCTTCTGGATCATACGGATTTCATATGAGTTTCGGAACCAACCTGTCAATCTCTGCATAAGATCACTAGGCTCTCCATAGGAATTGGATCAAAGCAGTAGATAAATTTAGGGATTATTGCCATCTTAATGTCTTCTGATTCATGAACATAAGATGTCCATTCCAATTATTTGGATTTTTACTCTACAGAGCATACATTTTGCACTACTTAAGTTTATTAAATGTAATTTAATTTAAGTTTATTAAAAGTAATTTAATTTTGAGATCATTTCTCTCCAATATTTAAAAGTAAACAGTGTCCATTTCATCCATAAACACTTGTATGGCATCTATCTATAAATAGTAAAGCAGCGTCTCCTCTCTTCCCCACTTTCCTTCTCTTCTTTTTATTTTTTATCTTTCTTTTCTTTAGTCACCATGCTACTGTCAGGCCCATAACAATGAACAAAAATTCCTTGTTCTCATCTACTATATAATATACATTCTCTTTTTTTTTTTGGTACCGGGGATCGCACTCACAACCTCCTGCATGCCAAGCAGGTGCTTACACCACTGAGCTAAATCCCCAGCCCCTACATTCAGATTTCTTTGATTATCTCTTGAATATCTTCTCATGGCTAGCTTCCCTAAATCAGGATCTAAACAAGCCCACACTCTGTATGTGTCAATTACATTTTCATTTCTTTTCTATTTTTGAACAATCTTTTTATTCTTTTTCATGCTTTGAGGGTTTACATTTATATTTCTGAGACACAGTGAGTCTATAATACCCTCTCGTAGGCTAAGTGTCCATCCTTAGAGGATCCTCGTTAGGTGGATCCTTCCCACTTGGTTTCATGGAAAGAACTGTGAAGCTTAGGATGACTTTTCTCCTGCTGTAAAGCCACCGGCCTGGGCAGCCGTAGTGGTGGTGTTGGCTTCCAGGCACCTGCTGGGGAGAAACAGCCCTTGCTGAAGACCCTGGACAGAACTTCATTGTTTCCCTCCCCACCCCCAGCACTTGAACATCAGTGACTAATTGTTAGATAGACTGAGCTCTTGCTCATCTCCCGCTCTTTACTAGCGTGGAAT